AACTGAGGGAACGGTATCTGACGGGGGTTATTTGGCCATCAGGATGCGTTTCCCCCGTTTAACACAGGGGGAACGGTATCTGACGGGGGTAATTTGGCCATCAGGATGCGTTTCCCCCGTTTAAAACTGAGGGAACGGTATCTGACGGGGGTTATTTGGCCATCAGGATGCGTTTCCCCTGTTTAACACAGGGGGAACGGTATCTGACGGGGGTAATTTGGCCATAAGGACGCGTTTCCCCTGTTTAACACTGAGGGAATACATGTATATATACACATGATAGATAAATGTATTTATATATATATATTTGTGAATATATATATATAAACAGCCTGTATATATATATATATATATACACATACATACATACATACATATTTATTTATTTCTTTGTCATATCATATTATATATATATATATAGGCTATATTAATATAAAGTTGTCATACCTGAAAAACCAAAACAGCACAAACGATATTTTTTCTGCACAAACCAGCACTAACGAGTGTGGCTATTTTTCACTGAGTTTTGCGTGGGGTAGGGGCCAACATCACTCAGGTGCTTTCACTGTCTGTAGTTGCCTCGCCGCGCAAGCACGGCTCGCTGGTTACGAGTGCTGAACAAGCACGCGCACTATTTGCCGCGTGCGAGGCGCGGAGCGGCGAGTAGACGCAGGGGAAACAGTATCTGACGGGGAAACGCGGCTCGACGTAACACCTGTATCTGTCAATGTTCAACATAAAACACAGATTAACAAACTCCTCCCCCGCAGCCGGACTAACCTCGTAAGTCCAGTGGTGGTCTCCCAGTCTATATTAATTCTTTCTTTGTTTGAAAGTCCAATTGAGAAAAAAAATCTTCATTCAAATCATCCATTTTCCAGCAAAAGAAATAGCATTTTGGGCTGATTGTTTGTTAGCAACTCTGGTATGAACTTTATGCTCACTATCACCCCTAGCGGTGAGGCACAGATACCGCCTGCCTCACGCCAAGCTTTTTCCTTGTGTGTTCATCTACGATCAAAAGACTTAAACTAAATATAAATTGTACACACATACGTGCAATACACTACTAAACACTAAGAGGAGTTTAAAAAATGTTTTTAAAGCAGGATATTTGAAACAAACGGTGATATATCAACTGCACGAGCTGAGTGCACTCAGACACACACACACACACTGTGAGGGAGCGGTCTGGGGTGAGGCACGCAGGAGCGCTGCCTCACCTCGTCTCTTTGAATAGGAATAACGGGATTTCGGCGATTTTGACTTCAGAAATGATCAAAACTGATGGGAACCGTGCCGAATATACATTAAAAGCATAGGACAGTGGATATAAATTATATATTTAAACTAAAATAATTATTAGTTTCCAATAATGGCAGGTGAGGCTCTGCCTCCCCTGCCTCCCCTGACTGCACGTCCCTGGAAAATAGGTGCTCTGACTTTATGATGAATGAATCTTTCAGTGAACGGTGTTTAAAGCTTCATTGTTCATTATTGTTTTCATTACATCGCAAACATGAAGCAGTCCTTCCTCATTGACTGAAAGCAAAAGTTCATTCTCATTCTTAGTCCAGTCTTATCGACTCTTTCTCTCTGTATCTTTGGGATCCATGCGCACACACAGTCTATAATGCACACACGCCGGTTTGTCTACAGCAGCAGCCGCCTGGCACGGGCCGCGTCACAGGATATGACGCACTACGTACAGAAATGCTAAAATTTAATATTACTTATACAAGTTTTTGCAGCATTGAAAAACGTTAAGAATGTTTTTCCTCCTACAGAAACCACATTGAAAATATAGCCCTCACACTCCATTTTCAGACATTTTTGAAAAGGCTCCAGGAGCCACTTTAGGGGCACTAAAGGTTGCCGACCCCTGGTTTATACAGTATGTGGAAGCAAATACTGTAGAGGATCAGGATGTCTGCAGTTTCAACAATAAAATAAAGTACAATAGTCTACATTAAACAGAGTAATAAACATGTCTCAGAGTGAGGGAGGTGGGCACAGACAATACTATTGTTTGTTACAGGGATGAGAATTGGTCAAAAATATCTGAAATGCATATTGTCAGCCATTAGCTGGCTCTAAATCTGTTTAATCTGTTCACAACATTTTACTTTTGGGCTCAAACATGAACTTTTAATGCAATGGAAAATTTAGGTACCCGAGCTTTAATTTAGAGGAGAGGGGGGACGCGGACTGTTTTCTGCAGCGGTGTATTTATTGGGTGCACAAATTACGAAAAGACATGCATGGTCCTGTGCGCGTTTATGGTCTTGGGTACATGGTCACGTTGCGGATACGCGCTCGCCGTGTTGTGTTGTGAGCGGTTCCTGCGTCCAGCTCAGAGCCGCTGGATGCGGGAACACTGCGGCCGCTGAGGTGGTGGGATCCCGTTTCAGTACATACAGCAGGTGCCCCGCGGACACGCGCCCTCCCCTCAAACATTTCTCAACGGATTTACACTTTTCACAAACATGTTTTTTTGTATGAGGCAGACAGACCGGCCCAAATATGGGCATCGGCCCTTCGGGCATTGCCCGGTACGCCCGATGGCCAGTCCAGCCCTGAACCAGGGCAGCTCTAACCTTGCCTGGCCTGCCAGACACTCCTCCTTTCTGTTCAAAAGAAGAACCGTCTGGACACCTCTTCCTAGCCTATCATTTCACGATTTTACCCACATCGGTCCAATCACGCACCGAGAGGCGGGACTTCCTTTCACCTTTGAGTTGCTAATAACTCCTCGTATCTTTAAGTTTTTGTTACAAAATCGACAGCAGTCGTTTACATTTGCACTAGCTGACATGCCGCCATCCCTTGTTTTGTGTTTACTGAAACGGCTTGGGTGCCCCTAGTTGCTGCGTCATATCCTGTGTGCATCTAATTGGTTGATGCAGTCTGTCAACCACGCCCACCGGGAATTCGCTGAGATCAAGCTCGTTCCCAGACTATGGCTATATCCACACGAAGACAAAACGCTTATAATTTCAGAAACTTTTTCTGTAAACACGGAGTTAGCTCAGTAAATGTGTGCGTCCATATGAATGTAGTCAATACGCCTGAAAACGCTGTGAAACTATGCCAGACCTGTTGGTGGCGCTGTGACGCAATGACGGGATCAAGCCCAAACTTCCGTGGGCATGCGCGGAATTTTGTAAACAGACAACATGGCGAGTGGGCGAGCTGGTACTACATTAGTATGGACGGACGATGAGGTTGAACTGTTGCTTCGGGTCGCACTGGATTACAAAACAACAAGCTACATTGTTGTTGTCATTATTTTCTGAGTGCGGCGCATGCGTGCTTTAACAAGAGGCGGGGCGATGACGCAAGCGTCTCAGATACATTGCGGAGAGGCAGTAACCGCGGAGCGGCATATACGGAGTTTTGAAATCTTTCCACTCTGGGACCTAGTTTCAAAAATGTTCGTTTACACCCCCCCAAAACGCCGGCCTCGTATGGACGATACACTGGATTGATAAAGTATTTTTGCGTTTAGGCTTGAGCTTGACTTCGTGTGGACAGGGCCTATATGTCTTTGAAAAAGCATATCGTTTGGCAGGCCAGGCAAGCTCTAACCAGGGTCTAACCAGGGTCTAACTAGGGCAGCTCTAACCAGGACAGCTCTAACCAGGGTCTAACTAGGGCAGCTCTAACCAGGACAGCTCTAACCAGGGCAGCTCTAACCATTACACCCACCTGTGTGTAGCTTACATTCCCTGCTGCAGACTTATACAAGCAATGAATAGGCTAAAATTCTGGTTTCCCTCTTGGCAAATGTACAGAATATACACAACATTGACACATTTCATTGATTGGATAAGATTTTATTGAAATAAATATGGCTGAAGCAGAACAGAAAGAGGCAGTTGTTTATAAAAGGTCAGAGCAAAGCCAGTGTTAAGTATCAATAAGCAAACATTTGAACTTTGAAGCTAAAATAATATCAATTATTCAACAAAATATCAAAACTGGTAAAAGAATAATAAGTAAATGCAAGACGGCAAGTATTTCTACCTCTACTGTGTATATGAGTGATTCTGTATGTCTTTAGGCAGCTTTTGTACTGGAGAAACTCTGGAAATTGGAAACAGTGAGATAGTATCAAACCATTATTTGTTATGATGTGAAGTTGAATGATCTCACAGCTTGTAAAAAAAAAAAAGACAAAAAGAAACCCAAAAATAGCATATGTTACTTTGCATGTAATATTGTATGTCTATCATGTATGAATTTTAGATTTTAACTTGAAATACAGAAATTAATGAAAATGTTAACAATATTTTTCATCTATATGTGTGCCTATGTCTACTATGGGCACACATATTATACAAATATTTGTTTTTATGGTTGACATCCTTTTACATTTTTTGTCCACTCAAGAGGAAGCCTCGTGGAAGTCTACGACCTGGGAACGCCTCAGGATGATGGAGCGTTTGTGTATGTGTGAAGAGGAAAGCCTGGCTCTCTCTGCTCAGACTGCTGCCCCCGCTACCCAGCAACGGTTAAAGCGGAAGAAAATGGATGGAGGATACAAGTCATAAAAGCAGCTGTGTATTCAGTGTACAAATGATGTGCATTAAGATGTGTAATCCTTGTTTGTGATCCTTTGCAGATCAAGTTTCCCGTGGCTGGGACTTTGGAAACTTGTTCTGTGATGAATACTTGTATTTAATGATTGTTTTGTTTTTATTTACTCCAATCACTCAACTCTATAATCTGCAAAGCAATATGACCTGATAATTCAAGTAGCCAAGAAACACGAACAACAACATTACATTTAGTACATAACATTACATTTATTTTCACAGACAATTCTCTTAAATAGAGTATGTCTATGTTTTGTTCTGGACTACGAGTCTGTAATAAAGCTATCTATCTATCTATCTGTGCAGCAGCAGTAAATATATATGAATATTTGAAAAAAATATTTCAATGTGCAACAATATGTTGTATGTGAATCTGTATAAACTCTGAAGATAAATATCAAATCAGCGCTTAATTTGGGGCCTTCCGACTCTCATCTGAAAAATCAAAATAGAAAGTATAGTTCAGGATGTTGCAAGTGACAGTTTGTGTTTATTTTCACACAAAATAAATAATAATAACTTACAGGCGAACCAAGGTCAAAGTGTTGAGTGTTGATGCTTGTGGCGCGTGCACCATGGGAGGCGGGGCCATGGGAGGCGGGGCCATTGGAGAGCCAGTTCTGGATGTTCTGGGATGCTCTGGCGTGTCCGTTCACATGAGCTGGTTTCTCAGGATGGTACATTGAGATCTGGTGGCCTGCTCCAGTGAAGGAGGGGTTTTTGTAACCTTTGGAAACACACAGGATTACTCTTTACTCTTTACTACTTCCCTCAGGACAATCCAGTCAAAAAGCCACTCTAATGCATAGGATTATAAATCAATTTCTAAAAAAAAATGGAATCAGTAGCATTAGAGATTTGTGAATAATGCCATGATTTCAGATGAAGGTTTAGGAAGGGGTCCAGGCAAGGCAAGTTTATTTGTATGGCACAGTTCATACACAAGGCTACTCAAAGTGCTGAACAAAACAAGATAGAAACAGTCACACAAGGCATTACCAGAGGTGTGGACTCGAGTCATGTGACTTGGACTCGAGTCAGACTCGAGTCATGATTTTGATGACTTTAGACTCGACTTGACCAAATATAAAAAGACTTGCAACTCGACTTGGACTTTAACATCAATGACTCTGACTTTCACTTGGACTTGCGCCAATTGACTTGTAAAGACTTGCGTAACCCGGGCCATTTTTACCTTTCTCCGCATCTCTCTTTCTATCTATGCCGTCTCTGAAGAAACAAAGCCTTGCAGTAGTTGTAGCGCTCGCGCGAGAGTTCGAACGTGAGTTCCCCGCAGTTCGCGCAGCAACACTTCCCTAAACAAGCGGACTGCATTCACCGGTGGGTGTGTTGTCGTAGGGGAGCTGGAAATGAGCGAGCTGCAGGTATTTATCGCGACCTAACGTCATATTTTGTTCTACAAACCGTAATTGATATGCTTTCACTACAGGCGCCTCATACAATTGAATCGACGCAGTTGTCACACTGTGTGCCGTGTTTTAAAGAGGAACTGGTGAGTCAAACTAGCGCTAGCCTGCGCTGCTCTGTTAGCTATTTCTTATATTTTTCTGTGTGGGCGCCGAGGCCTATTATTATGAGTATGTTTTTGCTGTGCTCCTCCTGCTAAAGTTTGCATACATTAGATAGTTGTTTTGATTATGTGCACTAAGCTAGATTAATATTTGCACTATTGTTTATGGTGCATTGATATGAGAATCAGTGCTTTGACTGATTGAATTAATTTATATGAGACATTTTATTATGTAATGATATATTGGTAATTATGAGATATTACTAATGCTGGTCCAGTTCATACAGGCCAGGGTCCTTCCCCTCCATTGGTCCCTTCAGTCCTTTGGAACAATAACCACTACGGACATTAAACTGATTATATAGATACAGGTCCTAGCCCAATACTCATATTCATATATGCTGCACTTGCTACTTCCCATTAAAAACCCCAAAGATAAAAAGTATGTTGACACGGACTGCTCTGATTTTATGTGTGGTCTGTGCATGTGTAACTGAGCCTGCATCTGGCACAACATCCAATTAGATCACGTAGATAGTTTTGATTTACCAGCAGCCAACGACATGGAACAAACTGTTAGTCCATGGGTCAGAGACCAACGAGAATGCACCAGCAAAATGATTCCTAACATTATTTTGTTTGCCTACAAAAGTAGGTGGAGACCAACAAGAAACAAATCGCGGTCAAAAAGACTCGAGAGGACTCGAAAGTCAAACCGTAGGACTTGGGACTGACTTGAGATTTGTTGGCCTTTGACTTGGACTCGACTCGGGACTTGCCTGTCTTGACTCGTGACTTGACTCGGGACTTGAGGGCAATGAATTGAGACTGACTTGTGACTTGCTAAACAATGACTTTGTCCCACCTCTGGGCATTACATAGTCTCTGCATTAAGAATAGTAAAGATATAGATTTGTCAGAGAAGAAGCCCATCTCACATTTTCAGGAAGATTTTAGCTGCATAAATCTGAAATGCTACCTCCCCCATGTTTAATTCTGACTCTGGGACCACCAGCTCCTCAGAGTCCCAGTTGTACTGTTTGGGAGAAAACCACTAATTTGCCATCCATGACAAAGATTCCTTTTAGAATTGAATAATGATACTGCTTTTTGCTACCAATTTTACCTTAGTTTCTTATAGTAACAAGAAGTAATATATATATATATATATATATATATATATATATATATATATATATATATATGTATACATTTCAGGCTTCAAACATAAAGATATAAAAAAAGAATCAACAACAAGTGGGACACAATCGTGAAGTGGAACGAAATGTATTGGATAATTGAAACTTTTTTAACAAATAAAGTGGGGCGTGCAATATTATTCGGCCCCCTTGTGCTAACACTTTGTAGCGCCACCTTTTGCTGCAATTACAGCTGCAAGTCGCTTGGGGTATGTCTCTATCAGTTTGGCCCATTCTTCCTTGCAAAACAGCTCGAGCTCAGTGAGGTTGGATGGAGAGCGTTTGTGAACAGCAGTCTTCAGCTCTTTCCACAGATTCTCGACTGGATTCAGGTCTGGACTTTGACTTGGCCATTCTAACACCTGGATACGTCTATTTGTGAACCATTCCATTGTAGATTTGGCTTTATGTTTTGGATCATTGTCCTGTTGGAAGATAAATCTCCGTCCCAGTCTCAGGTCTTTTGCAGACTCCAACAGGTTTTCTTCCAGAATGGTCCTGTATTTGGCTCCATCCATCTTCCCATCAATTTTAGCCATCTTCCCTGTCCCTGCTGAAGAAAAGCAGGCCCAAACCATGATGCTGCCACCACCATGTTTGACAGTGGGGATGGTGTGTTCAGGGTGATGAGCTGTGTTGCTTTTACACCAAACACATCGTTTTGCATTGTGGCCAAAAAGTTCGATTTTGGTTTCATCTGACCAGAGCACCTTCTTCCACATGTTTGGTGTGTCTCCCAGGTGACTTGTGGCAAACTTTAAACTAGACTTTTTATGGATATCTTTGAGAAATGGCTTTCTTCTTGCCACTCTTCCATAAAGGCTAGATTTGTGCAGTGCACGACTGATTTTTGTCCTATGGACAGACTCTCCCACCTCAGCTGTAGTTATCTGCAGTTCATCCAGAGTGATCATGGGCCTCTTGGCTGCATCTCTGATCAGTCTTCTCCTTGTTTGAGATGAAAGTTTGGAGGGACGGCCGGGTCTTGGTAGATTTGCAGTGGTCTGATACTCCTTCCATTTCAATATAATTGCTTGCACAGTGCTCCTTGAGATGTTTAAAGCTTGGGAAATCTTTTTGTATCCAAATCCGGCTTTAAACTTCTCCACAACAGTATCTCGGACCTGCCTGGTGTGTTCCTTTGTCTTCATGGTTCTCTCTGCGCTTTAAACAGAACCCTGAGACTATCAAAGAGCAGGTGCATTTATTATAAATGCACCTGTGTGTAATCAAGTCTCCGTATACATTTTATACGGAGACTTGATTACACACAGGTGCATTCTATTTATCATCATCAGTCATTTAGGACAACATTGGATCGTTCAAAGATCCTCACTGAACTTCTGGAGTGAGTTTGCTGCACTGAAAGTAAAGGGGCCGAATAATATTGCACGCCCCACTTTTCAGTTTTTTATTTGCTAAAAAAGTTTAAATTATCCAATAAATTTCGTTCCACTTCACGATTGTGTCCCACTTGTTGTTGATTCTTGACAAAAAATGTAATTTTTATATCTTTATGTTTGAAGCCTGAAATGTGGCGAAATGTTGAAAGGTTCAAGGGGGCCGAATACTTTCGCAAGGCACTGTATATATATTGTACTGATATTCTGAGTTTTATTTGAGTTGCCATGCATTTCCAAGAGTAGCTTCTGCACATCTGAACTTTCACATTGAATTTAAATTGAGGCAAATCACCAGAATAAGAATACCCTTTGGACACTAGCAATCCATCTAATTAAACCACTAATAACTCAGAGAAAGCCTGAATTGGGATTCTTATCTTCATACAGGTAGTGCAGGGTTGTCCAATCTCTTCAGCAATAGGGCCCGTTTACAGTTAACTAAACTGTGATAACCTGGATCGTAAAACTGTCCATATTGATTCACACAACAGCTTCACTCGACCCTCTAGTGACACAATCAAATGCATTTGGCAGTGTATTCAAATTACAACTGGATTCTAGAGGTTCTGAGATTACAACAAGGTACAGCATGACTATATTGGTGGAGCTGAAGTTGGCTGGAAGACACTGTGGAAGTACCTCAGTGAGCATTTTGTGTTAGCGCCGTTATTATGATAGATCCATGGTTAGCGCCAGAAGGCCTCATAAATTGCCACAGGGCCTTTGTTTGGACATGCCTGATGTAGTGTATATGGGTGCAATAAACCTTATGTCATACTCACCAGATGATCCATTTATCCCATTTGGCTTTGTCCACTCAAAGTCGTCATTTATCCACTCATTCACAAGTTTCTTCTTAGTGTCCTTCCGACTGGAAAGTTTATTTGAATGTAATGTATCTGTAAAACAGTCTATTTCATCTTTTCATGTACGTCTCCTTGACTTACCGAGCTTGCTTTTTTCTGCTGATTGCAACATAGACGGTCAGAGATACCACCGATACGAACAGGCAAGCAAGAGTGATGCTAAGCCCTATATAAAAAGGAGTTTTCTGTATGGGCATACCACAGTCCTGGCCCAAATACCACGTGTTGCCAATATTGTTACACCTAAAAAAGACAGCAGTGAGGCGTCAAGTGACAAATGAAGTGTCTTGAGAGAATTTTGTAGCATACCTGCAATATGCTCCAAAGCCCTTGGATATGGCACACCTTCCATTGTTAGAGCAAGTTTTATGGTTGTCATGTTCATTGCTACATTCTGAAATGCACTTAATTGTTCCACTTATATTCTTCGGAGTAAAGAACTCAGCAATGTCTTTATCCATAGCACCTAGACAGATATCTGTAATGGAAAAGGTCTCCTGCATTATTGCATCTATTTCATGAACAGGAACAATGATCAAATAATATCATACCAGAATAATCTATGGGAGCACGTTCTGCAGTTGCAGAGTCAGCAACATAAGGGCAATCTGTGTTTAAATTAGAAAGTAATATTTAGCGTGCAAGCTCATGCACAATACCACTATACCAATGCACAATCTCATCGATTACACAAACCTGTACAGTTGACAAGCTTAGTAACTGCGTCCTCAACCTTTTTAAAGCTGTCTTCAAAAACCTCAGAAAACTTGCTGTCGTTTGGAATTGACACGACAACTTCATGTTCAACATTTATTCTAAAACACATTGTTTTGAAGGGAAAAATAAAGCAAATTACACAACATAATAAAGCCATTTTATAAATATGCACACATTTTCTCTGAGAATATATTTCTTGGCCGTGGTCTCTGGACATGGTAACTCCACTTAGAAAATAATTTATCAGAATACAATGGAGTGAGGGACGACAGTAGCTCAGTTGGTAGAGCATTGGTAGAGCAGTGGGTTCGAGCCCACCATGGGACCTACTCCAACTGCTCCTACAAATGTCTACTGTCGTTGTGTCCTTGGGCAAGACACTTAACCCTACGTTGCCTGAAGCCCCCGCTGAAAGACCAAGGCTGTTTCACCGCTGACGGAGTGTGTGTGTGTGTGTGTGGTAAATAAATGCTTGAAATACTCACAATTCTTCTTTTTCGGCTGTCTTGTAAGTGTTCAAGTCAGTGGGAAACTCTATCTATAATGTAAATAGATAAACTTATTACAGTGCACTTATGTCAGTATCAAATTGTATGACCATTACCTTTGCCAATGAGTTGTATAACAGTTGTCTTGAAGTGCCTTGGCTATAAAAAGGAAAAACACCAAGTTGTGTTTTACATAATACCGCTATCACTGAATTACATCAATATGATTTGAGACTTACCTAACTTTCACCACCACTACTTTTTCAAAGTTGTTCACATTTTTATAATATTTTTCCATCTGTAACAATGTGTGGATTATGAACATGTTCAACAGTAAGTGCAGTACAATAAGGTAAGATTCTACAACAATTTATAAATAAATCATATATTAATCATCAAAGTTTCTTGCAAGGAGTCACAAGTTGAAAAATGCTTTTGTGTTTGCTAACAATTGCAAATATGATTAGAATATGCTGTGTAAGCTGATCACATCACTTACCTTGGTAATGAAATCTTTAACAAACGTTTTGTATTCCTCCGAGCTAGGATTATCATAGCTTGGAAGATACTTCTTTTTTATGACCAGATCAACCACAACAGATCCAAACACAGTAGCTGAAAATAGAAATATATCAAAATGTATGTTACTATAAATGTACCCATGGGCAAGATTGTATTGGAGATCATAATGAAACAAATACCTGGGGCAATATCTTTGGCAGATTCACATAGTTTTCCATCAAATCCATCAGGACATGTGCAATTATATCCATTGAATGTACCTCCATTTAGACAGTCTAATGGTGGTGGGCCAGCTGTAGGTGTAGGACCTACTGTTGTTGTCGTAGGACCTTCTGGTGTCGTAGGACCTTCGGTTGTCGTAGGACCTTCTGCTGTCGTTGTAGGACCTTCTGTTGTTGTCGTAGGACCTTCTGTTGTTGTTGTCGTAGGACCTTCTGTTGTTGTTGTAGTAGGACCTTCAGTTGTTGTAGGACCTTCTGTTGTTGTTGTCGTAGGACCATCTGTTGTTGTTGTAGTAGGACCTTCTGTTGTCGTAGGACCTTCTGTTGTTGTTGTCGTAGGACCTTCTGTTGTTGTTGTAGTAGGACCTTCTGTTGTCGTAGGACCTTCTGTTGTTGTTGTAGTAGGACCTTCTGTTGTCGTAGGACCTTCTGTTGTTGTTGTAGTAGGACCTTCTGTTGTCGTAGGACCTTCTGTTGTTGTTGTCGTAGGACCTTCTGTTGTTGTTGTAGTAGGACCTTCTGTTGTTGTTGTCGTAGGACCTTCTGTTGTTGTTGTAGTAGGACCTTCTGTTGTCGTAGGACCTTCTGTTGTTGTTGTAGTAGGACCTTCTGTTGTCGTAGGACCCTCTGTTGTTGTCGTAGTAGGACCTTCTGTTGTCGTAGGACCTTCTGTTGTTGTTGTAGTAGGACCTTCTGTTGTCGTAGGACCTTCTGTTGTTGTTGTAGTAGGACCTTCTGTTGTCGTAGGACCTTCTGTTGTTGTTGTCGTAGGACCTTCTGTTGTTGTTGTAGTAGGACCTTCTGTTGTTGTTGTCGTAGGACCTTCTGTTGTTGTTGTAGTAGGACCTTCTGTTGTCGTAGGACCTTCTGTTGTTGTTGTAGTAGGACCTTCTGTTGTCGTAGGACCCTCTGTTGTTGTCGTAGTAGGACCTTCTGTTGTCGTAGGACCTTCTGTTGTTGTTGTAGTAGGACCTTCTGTTGTCGTAGGACCTTCTGTTGTTGTTGTAGTAGGACCTTCTGTTGTTGTTGTCGTAGGACCTTCTGTTGTTGTTGTAGTAGGACCTTCTGTTGTCGTAGCACCTTCAGTTGTTGTTGTAGTAGGACCTTCTGTTGTTGTAGGACCTTCTGTTGTTGTTGTAGTAGGACCTTCTGTTGTTGTTGTCGTAGGACCTTCTGTTGTTGTTGTAGTAGGCCCTTCAGGACCTTCTGTTGTTGTTGTAGTAGGACCTTCTGTTGTTGTTGTAGTAGGACCTTCTGTTGTCGTAGGACCTTCTGTTGTTGTTGTCGTAGGACCTTCTGTTGTTGTTGTAGTAGGACCTTCTGTTGCTGTTGTAGTAGGACCTTCTGTTGTTGTTGTAGTAGGACCTTCTGTTGTTGTTGTAGTAGGACCTTCTGTTGCTGTTGTAGTAGGACCTTCTGTTGTCGTAGGACCATCTGTTGTTGTTGTAGTAGGACCTTCTGTTGTCGTAGGACCTTCTGTTGTTGTTGTAGTAGGACCTTCTGTTGTCGTAGGACCTACTGTTGTTGTTGTAGTAGGACCTTCTGTTGTCGTAGGACCTTCTGTTGTTGTTGTAGTAGGACCTTCTGTTGTTGTTGTCGTAGGACCTTCTGTTGTTGTTGTAGTAGGACCTTCTGTTGTTGTTGTAGTAGGACCTTCTGTTGTTGTTGTCGTAGGACCTTCTGTTGTTGTTGTAGTAGGACCTTCTGTTGTTGTTGTGGTAGGACCTTCTGTTGTTGTTGTAGTAGGACCTTCTGTTGTTGTTGTAGTAGGACCTTCTGTTGTCGTAGGACCTTCTGTTGTTGTTGTAGTAGGACCTTCTGTTGTTGTCGTTGTAGGACCTTCTGTTGTTGTTGTCGTAGGACCTTCTGTTGTTGTTGTAGTAGGACCTTCTGTTGTTGTTGTAGTAGGACCTTCTGTTGTTGTCGTTGTAGGACCTTCTGTTGTAGGACCTTCTGTTGTTGTAGGACCTTCTGTTGTCGTAGGTCCTTCTGTTGTTGTTGTAGTAGGACCTTCTGTTGTCGTAGGACCTACTGTTGTTGTTGTAGTAGGACCTTCTGTTGTCGTAGGACCTTCTGTTGTTGTTGTAGTAGGACCTTCTGTTGTTGTTGTCGTAGGACCTTCTGTTGTAGTAGGACCTTCTGTTGTTGTTGTCGTAGGACCTTCTGTTGTTGTTGTAGTAGGACCTTCTGTTGTTGTTGTAGTAGGACCTTCTGTTGTTGTAGGACCTTCTGTTGTTGTTGTAGTAGGACCTTCTGTTGTTGTAGGACCTTCTGTTGTTGTTGTAGTAGGACCTTCTGTTGTCGTAGGACCTTCTGTTGTTGTTGTAGTAGGACCTTCTGTTGTTGTCGTTGTAGGACCTTCTGTTGTTGTTGTCGTAGGACCTTCTGTTGTTGTTGTAGTAGGACCTTCTGTTGTTGTTGTAGTAGGACCTTCTGTTGTTGTCGTTGTAGGACCTTCTGTTGTTGTAGGACCTTCTGTTGTCGTAGGTCCTTCTGTTGTTGTTGTCGTAGGACCTTCTGTTGTTGTTGTAGTAGGACCTTCTGTTGTAGTAGAACTTTCTGTTGTTGTTGTCGGAGAACCTTCGGTTGTTGTCGTTGTAGGACCTTCTGTTGTTGTTGTAGTAGGACCTTCTGTTGTCGTAGGACCTTCTGTTGTTGTTGTCGTAGGACCTTCTGTTGTTGTTGTAGTAGGACCTTCTGTTGCTGTTGTCGTAGGACCTTCTGTTGTTGTTGTAGTAGAACCTTCTGTTGTCGTAGGACCTTCTGTTGTTGTTGTAGTAGGACCTACTGTTGTTGTTGTAGTAGAACCTTCTGTTGTTATTGTTGTAGGACCTTCTGTTGTTGTTGTCGTAGAACCTTCTGTTGTCGTAGGACCTTCTGTTGTTGTTGTCGTAGGACCTTCTGTTGTTATAGGACCTTCTGTAGTTGTCGTAGGACTTTCTTTTGTCGTAGAACCTTCTGTAGTTGTTGTAGGACCTTCTGTTGTCGTCATAGTAGCTTCAGTTGTAGTAGTAGCTTCAGTTGTTGTCGTAACTTCAGTTGTCGTAGTAGCTTCAGTTGTTGTCGTAGCTTCAGTTGTCATAGTAGCTTCAGTTGTTGTCGTAGCTTCTGTTGTTGTCGTAGCTTCTGTTGTTGTCGTAGCTTCTGTTGTTGTTGTAGTAGGACCTTCTGTAGTTGTTGTAGGACTTTCTGTTGTTGTAGGACCTTCTGTTGTTGTAGTAGCTTCAGTTGTTGTAGTAGCTTTTGTAGTTGTCGTAGTAGGACCTTCTGTAGTTGTTGTAGGACCTTCTGTTGTTGTTGTAGCTTCAGTTGTTGTCGTAGCTTCAGTTGTTGTCGTAGCTTCTGTTGTTGTCGTAGCTTCTGTTGTTGTTGTAGGACCTTCTGTAGTTGTTGTAGGACCTTCTGTTGTTGTCGTAGGACCTTCTGTTGTTGTAGTAGCTTCAGTTGTTGTAGGACCTTCTGTTGTTGTCGTAGCTTCAGTTGTTGTCGTAGCTTCAGTTGTTGTCGTAGCTTCTGTTGTTGTTGTAGTAGGACCTTCTGTAGTTGTTGTAGGACCTTCTGTTGTTGTAGGACCTTCTGTTGTTGTTGTAGCTTCAGTTGTTGTAGTAGCTTCAGTTGTTGTTGTAGCTTCAGTTGTTGTCGTAGCTTCACTTGTTGTCGTAGCTTCTGTTGTTGTTGTTGTAGGACCTTCTGTTGTTGTAGGACCTTCTGTTGTTGTCGTAGCTTCAGTTGTTGTCGTAGCTTCTGTTGTTGTCGTGGCTTCTGTTGTTGTCGTGGCTTCAGTTGTTGTCGTAGCTTCAGTTGTTGTCGTAGCTTCTGTTGTTGTTGTAGTAGGACCTTCTGTAGTTGTTGTAGGACCTTCTGTTGTTGTAGGACCTTCTGTTGTTGTCGTAGCTTCAGTTGTTGTCGTAGCTTCAGTTGTTGTCGTAGCTTCAGTTGTTGTCGTAGCTTCAGTTGTCGTAGCTTCAGTTGTTGTCGTAGCTTCAGTTGTTGTTGTCGTAGCTTCAGTTGTTGTCGTAGCTTCAGTTGTTGTCGTAGCTTCAGTTGTTGTCGTAGCTTCAGTTGTTGTTGTCGTAGCTTCAGTTGTTGTCGTAGCTTCAGTTGTTGTCGTAGCTTCAGTTGTTGTCGTAGCTTCTGTTGTTGTCGTAGTAGTACCTTGTGCCGATTTTGTTGTTATTTGATTAAGATAACTTAGATGGATCTTGAGTGGATTGTGATTGGAGACATCTTCTGTGAATAAAAAAGCAGTAAGTACTGAAGAGGTCATAACACAGTACTTAGATAATGGTGGGCGGCACGGTGGCTGAGTGGACAGCACTCTCGCCTCTCAGCAAGAAGGTCCTGAGTTCGAATCCCAGTCAGACCAGGGCCTTTCTGAGTGGAGTTTGCATGTTCTCCCCGTGTCTGCGTAGGTTTCCTCCGGGTACTCAGGTTTCCCCTACCACTAGGTCTGGCATGCGCCTCCTGTTTGGCGACCCCGCTCCCATCTCTGTGTGGAGTGACAGTACAAGTGCCCGAAAATAACAATTGTAAACTGCTTTGTGACTCTGGTTTGTGAAAGGCGGTATACGAATTAAGATTACTTACTACTAAATAGTATTATGGAGTAGTCTACACCTGTATCAGTATCTAAAACTCACACAATCCCAGTGAAATCAATGCACTTTTCAAAAAGGTTTTTCCATTTGTTAAGTTAGGCAGGTACTTCATTTAGCTCAAAAGTGATTTTCCAAAACTTAAATTTAGGGTTTTTTTGTGCAATCATACTGCAGGCTTTGATGTTTGTTAATAGGTATGACCTAACAGCACTTGGAATTCAGGAGAAAAATTACTATTTGAAATTTACCTTCAGATATTTGTGACATCAATGGCTAAAACAACTTTTTGGAGCTTTTAACCGTGTTACAACATTGTTACGTTTTTTTTTTTTTAGATCCACCCACCCTATTTTCATAACTTATGGCACAAATGGCCCCTTTGAGCTAAAAACAACACGGTTGACAATTAGTTTTTGGACGAAGGACAAAAAAGGAGCACTCAAACAGCAGAAATATTTGAAACAAAACTACTAGAATATTTTTTTTTAACAGATATTAACACTTTCAACCAGCTAAGTTCAAATATACGGTTTTCCTCGAAATTATTACAGTTGTAATATATCCTGTTTTGTTGGTGTTTTTTCACCTGGAATAAACTATATTTATTTAATCAAATTAAATCTCTTGACAAAAAAAAAAAAGAAAAAAAATCACTGACATTCAACAATATAGAGTGTTTAACAATTCTTACCGGCTCCGGAACATGCACTGATGATTAGAGCCAAAAGGATAATAGAAAATCCCATCGTGTAGCTGTCTCGCTGTCTGGAGAGTACCATCTATTATCAGGGTGTATGACATGAAATAGAGACAAATACTGCTACAAAGTCTGTCACGTCACAACTTCTGTCGCGGAGGAAGGAAAGGCTGGGCTAGTATACCTTTGGACAGAACACACCTTGTATTTCATCGTCAACACTTTCAAGTGACGCCCTTTTTTGCTAAATTGCAACATTTCATTCAATAAAAGCAGCAGCAATAATAAATAAATAACACATTATCCAAGGCCAATACTCAAGCACTACTACTACTACTGCTACTAATGTTAATAATAAGACGAATTATCAGTTTTATATTTCAGAATCAGAATTGTTTTTATTGCCTTTGTAAGTAAAAGAAAGTCACAAACTAATAATTTTCTTTGGCATACGGTGCAAGACTGAAAACTGATATAAATGCATGCATAACACAACTCTTAATAAATGGAGGCATGTGGTCTTCCTGAAGTCCACAATAATCTCCACTGTCTTCTGAGCATTCGACTCCAGGTTGTCACCACTGCACCAGGACTCAAGCCGGTCCACCTCCTCCTCTAAGCAGACTCATCGTGGTCCCCAAACTTGACTTTTTGGACACAGCATGTCTGAGACCGGCAGAAGCAAGAGTAGTAGTCAAGAAAGATTACAGTTACAGTAGAATTGAGCATAATAGTGTATGAAAAACGGCTAATAAGTACAATTCAATAATAGCTAGCTTGAGTCATAACATAAGCACAAAGGATGACCTCCCTTGTACATAACATTGGGCACATGATCTCACACAGTCAATTTGACGGATTTCCAGGGGCCATAACTCGGTGTATGTACCTTTTTGGGTTTTTCTAACTTTGTATGTCTCTATATGTAATGTATTACTTTAAACTATTTTTATTAAATTATCTTTTATTTTCTAAATGTGAGTTCTATCTTTAATTCCCAGAGCAGCCAGTTTGATTGCTCCGTTTATTTGAACGTTACCTGGCAACCAACATTTTATGGCAGTTAACGCCCCAGTTCTTCAAGGTCCTGGTCGTGGTTTTCCAGAAGCTACATATATTGTGTATTTTGTTTGCTCGCTGTGTGCTCTTACTACAGTCTTGTACGTGCGCTGCAACATTGAAATTTCCCCACTGTGGGACAAATAATGGTTCTCTAATCTTATCTTCTACGCTGAGTTATCTAAGTAGCAGAGAAGAGAAAGTGCTTGTTACCATAGCTGAACTGTCTTAGCAGTAATTCAATCATTTTCACCAGTTTTAGCACTTAGTAAAAGGAACTAAAGGTAAAAACATAAGTTGATTTTAATGAAACTGTTGGGAAACTACTGGTGCAGCGGTTAGAGCTTGTGTTTCACAGCAAGAATATCCTGTCTCCGATTCCATCTCTAGGCCTTTCTGTGTGGACTTTGCATGTTCTCCCATGTAGGTTTCTTCCAGGTGCTCCGGTTTCCCCTACCACTAAAAACAGGTACAACAGGTCTGAATGATGTGTGGAAAGAATGGAACAATATCTGAACTCTGAACATAGCAAAGCTCGGTCGGTAAAATGTGCTATACAAAAAAACATTACTTACTTACTGACTTACTTAATTTGGGGATTTTAAATGGGAGTTTAAAATGGGAGTGTGCCAAGGGGCTCTTAACCCTTGACCCTTTCTCTTGTTCTCTCTCCGTTTTCTGTGTGTGAAAAGTAAAATGTTCAGACCTTGGTTTCATAAATGAGAAATGCGGTTTTGAATCTGAGAAAGTTGGGTGTAAGTTTCCATTTTCTAGAAATGTAATGTACGTTGAGCAATGAAGAATGGCGTTGCAACCTATTTCCAACAAATGACCAAGTTGTAAAGATAAAAGATTAACACCATAGAGTCATGGAAAACAAGTCATATAATATCTCATGATAAGATTGTCCACAAGAAAAGGCAGTAATCAAAAAAATCATTATATAAATGTCAAGACTCTGTGTATGAAGTTGTGTTCAATTAAATAGTTCAAGATCACTGAGCACTGGGTGCAGCTCTGACTGCCACCCCCCCGACCCAGAAATGGATTAAGGGGAAGAAAATGGATGGATGGATGGAAGATCACTGAGCAGAGCGGCCACTGTTTGTTGTAGCAATTGAGATCATAATACAACCCCTATTACCACATTGTTTTCTGATAAAGCTAAAGGTGCACTTTATTAATCCCTGTAGGGCAATTCATTCTCTGCCTTTGACCCATCCTGATGCCACTAAGGCTTCCGTCAGGTGGCCCCCGTAGTACAGCGCCTGGGGACCCATCTCCAGATGTTGAGGCTGGGCTTGGTCACGACTACCGGAGGTGGGGGATTTACTTATTGTGCAGTGCGTGTATTTAGTGATAGGGGAAACCGGAGAAAAACCTATGCAGGCACGGGGAGAACATGCAAACTCTATTCAGAAAGACCCTGTTCCGACCGGGATTCAAACCCAGGACCTTCTTGTTGAGAAGCGGGAGTGCTATCCACTCCCCATGCCCTATGCCGCCCCATGCCACTTTCTCACCATTAGTAACATTGATCCTTAAGTCGTCCACAATGTTTGTGTTCTTGTTTTCAGTTACACCAACTCTGCAAAAATGAATCAATCTCTATGTAATTCTGGAACATAGATTGTATATTAGGAGTGGACTGAAAAAAGGGCATCCATTGGCCTGGTGTAATTTATTTATTTATGTGAGCATCTGTTCAAATACATGCGAGACATTCAACTCAAAGAGTTGGTCAATTGCAACAACAAAAAATACATATATGGGGACTTCCGGCGAGCTTTTCAAGATGGCGGAGTAACTCTTCTCCTCTCCCGACAAGAAGTTGTAAAAAAGTTCACGCAACTCGAGAAAAAACTTGCTTTAATTATTTTATTCAAATATGAGACGTGTAACTAGATTCCAGGCAACCAAGGATGACTCTGACACGAGGGAAGTGACCGCGGAGGACACGGAGGATAACGAGGCTAACATGGAAAACCAGCTAGAGCTAGCTGAAGCTACGGAGGAGCTAACCACGGCTAAAGCTATAATGTGCTTGTCCAATAAAATGACAGAAATGAAGGACGAAATAAAACAAGAACTGGCGCATTTCAAAAACGGAGATTAACCAGAAGCTTCTGAATATTACTGCGGATATTCGAAACCAATGCACGCGTCTGGCGGAATCTGAACAGCGTATTGGTGAACTCGAATCTGCGAACAAGGATCTTAGGCTGAGTTTACACGGAGACAATGTGGCAGTAAAACGATACAGTCGGATGTCGGTTGCTACCAACCGTTCATACGAAGACTATGTTCCAGGGGGGTCAAAACGTAAGTGTTCAGATCCAGCCTGCAAAGTGGGACAACTCAGATACGCTGCACAGCGGGGAGCTCTTTCACCTTTTTTCCGCGAGAAGTAAAAAGGTGTGAAATCCCCCTCTGCTCTGACCCCCGCCTCCGCGCTGCTCCCCGCACGTAAATTTGGACATGCGCAGTAGCGGAGAACAAACAAAAACAACAATGGCGGCCGGTAAACTAACTAGCTTCGTGGGCTTCCCTTGGTTCTGCAACACAACCTTATAGTCAAATTCAAAACAGCAGATATCAGTATGTGAATGAGATTGTTTTTCTCACTAAAGTCTAAACAATTTTGGAGCGCTCTTGGCTTTCAAACATGCGCTATATAAATAAAGATTACTTATTATCTTACTAATGATGACATTTTAAGACCAGAAACTCTCTTAATAAAAAAACAAGACTCAAATCTCAAAAAACCTTCAAACTTTAAAATATGTATTATGTACTTTTGTACTGTGTGTTTAATAATCTATGCGTTCTTGGTTTTCACTTTATGGACTTTCCCTTTTACACTTGAACATTTATCTCAGCATTTATTCTACTAATTTAAAATAATTGCAGCATTTTTCAAATTAAGTCAACATGAATTGGAGCACATTTCAGAGTCTCCTGTGCTGTGGCATCAGCAGCAGGAGCAAGGTCAGGTGCATAGTCAAAACAAAAAAAGTCACCGCTTGCAATGTGAATTGGGTGAATTGGGTAGAGTTAAACTCAATATAATACTTTTACAGCTAATCCTAATTCCCTCTTTCTTTTTTAGACGAAGTCTATGATCAATAATCAATTTTAACACAGATTCTAATTTAAATGTTTGAAAAACGGCTTTTGTAACTAAAATAAAAATACATAAAAAAATTCTCACAAACAGCTATGAAATATATCAGAGATACAATAATGGACTCAAAAAATAAGCAGCAGATTTAAAAAGAAAAGCAAAGCTTTTTTGTACTAATCTTTGGATTTCAAAAAACATAATTCCAAACTTATTCACTGATGGTGTTTAAAACGTTTAACTGTGTCATAACACAATGTTCCATCGCAAATTTCGCAAATTTAACGGAATAACAACTATGAAAAGCCAAAATCCTAAACGCAGTAGCTTCCCTTTAAATCAGAGCAGCAGCAGCAGCGAGGGCGGGGGGGTTCCTGTCACACAGACGCACACACAGGCAGAAAGTAGTGTTTTAGCAAAAATGCAAAAACAGAAAGAAGAAGAACTTTCAAGATTACTTTTTTTAAGCAAATATAACTGATGTTGTAGTTTATACTTTTGTCATCCAAGTCTAGAAATGGCCACTTTCCACACTTGTAACAAAAGGCACTCTTGTCTTTAACGTTTACGCTTCTATTTTATCAAGGTAGCAAACTAATTTAAACTCAAAATCTCTTTCTAAAAAACAAAAACAACTGTTGGATACAACCATCTCATAGCTCAACTGTAGATAAAACTCGGCAAAAAATTTAAATAACTCACGAAAGCTCTCATAGCTCAACTTTAGATAAAACTCGGCATTCTCCGGTGAACTCTGTTCACGCCGAAAACAAACTAAAAAACAAAAACTCCCTTTTTCTGTATATAATTTAAACCGTGATCACTGAATGTAACATATTGTTGCTTATGTACTTTTGTCATTTATCAGCCTGAAATTCGTCAATTTCAAAGCTTTTGTAACAAAGGCCTCTTTTTCACCTTTCCCTTTTTATTGCTTTTACTTTTATACCATGGTTTCACTAAGGATCCTTCTTCTCTATCTTTTCTCAAAGGGACTCTAACTCCGAAAACGTTTTCTCAAAGGGACTCTAACCCTGAAGCTTCTTCTCAAAGGGACTCTAACCCCGAGACATCTTCCAGCGGCACAGAGGAAGATTCTACTCCTTTGTTCGTCCAAACGAGACCACGCGAAGCTCTAGGTTCAGTTTCCATTTTCCAAGCTGCTGTTAAAATGCAGAATGATGTTGGTGCGTTCTGAGGGTCTGGCACAGGAAGTGAGTACACTGCCGGGAGGGGGGCTGGGGGGGTCGTGTGTGTGTTGTAAAGTTTCTCTGCCCACTACTGGCCGGGCGCTAGAACTACATAGTTTTTCAACCTCATGTGAACGCAGAGAAATTTGCATTAGGAGCCAGGTCGTTTCTGTTAATGGCCTGGAAACGTCTGCGCAGCGTCTCAGTATAAACAGGGCCTAAGAGACGCGCTCCTACACACTCACAAACAACAGAAAACCCTGATGACAAAAATGACTGATTTGGAGGGCCGATCCAGACGAAATAACCTCCGTGTATATAACATCAGTGAGAATGCAGAAGGTAGCTCTATGTCATCGTTTATGGACACTTTTCTGAAGAGGGAACTTTCCCTGCGACAGGAGGAGGATTTGCAGATCCAACACGCTCATCGCTCTCTAGGGCCAAAGCCACAGGATAAACATGCCGCTAGATCCATTCTAGTCAACTTTCAAAGATTTGATATGAAGGACAAAGTGTTACGTGCAGCCTGGGCGAAGAAGATCATCTTTGACAGTAAAGTTATTACGTTTGCCAATGACATGCCCACGGAGATAAACAATAAAATGAAGGAATACAAGGACATTAAGAAGTCCCTTAAAGAAGCAAAGATACGCTTTCAGACACCGTATCCTGCGAAACTGAGAGTCCATTTGGAGGACGGCCCACGCGTGTACAAGACAGCGAAAGAGGCGGCGGAGGACGCAAGGAAGAGGGGCCTTTCTGTGGAGATCCCCCGCTCTTCGGATACGGACTGAGAGCAGGTACTCACTCGTGATACGCATTGGAACAATGCTGGGAACACTCATACTGAGCGAGTACGGGAAAGACTGCGTGTGTTTCAGAATGACTATTTTTCGGTAACAATGCTGACGAAGCAAGTAAGTGCGCTTTGGCCTTGTTAAACTGTTTCTAAAGGTAAGAACAGGCAATTGACAATCTTAGTTTATGTTTATCATCCGTTATTTTGTGGTTCGCATCTTGTTTGAAGGGAATATACACATAAAATGAATAATTTAGAATATATTCCTCCTGTATGTGCGTGTGTGTATAGATTTACAAAAAATAGTTTTCGTTTTTGGATGACCTACTTTACCCATTATTCTGGTCGGGTTCGGGAAGAGATGACACTCTTCAAATTCCTTTTTGTTTTTTACGTGTGCTCAAGAAGGGACTTTGTACTGCCAAAGAAGGAGCCCCTACTACCTGGAGTAGGGCTTTTCTCCTCATTTGTATTAGAAGGACGGACAATGGAAGATGGGAAGACAGGGACAATGAAAACCCTGGAAGTGGAAGTGATTTTGTTTTGTTTACTGTTCCGCTTGTTCTGTTTTGTGTTTACAGTCTGTAGATTTTTCTTATTCATTTACTATGACTGGTATCAACATTAGAGCAGCTTCTTGGAATGTAAATGGTCTCAACAACCCTGTTAAAAGGAGCCGAGTAATGACGTGGATAAAAAAGGAAAGAATGCAAATTATGTTTCTTCAAGAAACTCACCTATCCCAAAAAGAACACAAAAAATTTAAGAAGTTTGGATTTAACAATGTTTTTCATAGCTCTCATGAAGCCGGGAACAAACGTGGAGTCGCAGTGTTAATACATAACACTGTGCATTTTGAGTGCATTAAACAGATAAAAGATTGTGAGGGAAGGTTTGTACTTTTACAATGTAAAATAGAGGGCAAATTGTCTACTCTTCTCTCAGTCTACATGCCCCCAGATCATGACACCAAATTTATAAAGAGAATTTTGGAACTGATCTCCTCAGAATCACAAGGGGTGCTGACATGTGCGGGTGATTTCAACACAATCCGGCACAAAAATGATACGACCAACACTAGGAGAACTGTCACACCACAAAGTAAATTACTGAAAAAGGGTCTTCGTGATTTCGGCTTGATGGAAGTTTGGCGGAAAATGTGTCCTCTCGATAGAGATTACACTTTTTACTCTTCCCCTCACAAAGTACATTCTAGAATTGATTTTTTTTTTATGGCGGCTAATGACAGACACAGGATCCAAAGTTGTGACATTGGTACCAGGAGTTTGTCAGACCACTCGCCCTTATATCTAACATTTCATCTGGATTCTAGGCCAAAAAAAACAATATGGAGGTTAAACACTGGAAGACTGAATAATAAAAAAGTAATAAATGACATAAAAACTGAGATAAAAAACTTTTTAGAACTAAATTACAATGGTCAGGTGAACCCTAACATTCTATGGGACACGTTGAAGGCAGAAATTAGAGGTAAATTCCTATCATTAAGTGCAGCTATCAAAAAGGAAAAAGAAAAGACATTTAAAGAATTAGAAGAGTCATTAAGAGAGCTTGAGAAGAAGCAAGTTGAAACTCCAAATAATCAAATCTTAGAAGAAATTAAACTTAAGAAAACACAAATTTCAAACTGTTATAAAGAGGAAGAAGAGAAAAAATATAAATTCTTAAAACAATCCTACTATGAAACTGGCCCACAGGCTACAAGGCTTCTTGCCAGGAAAATAAGACAGAAGCAGATAACACAGTCTGTTTGCTCAATAATTAATCCAAGGACCGGCAGTTTAGAAAATGATCTTGATGGAATTGATGCAGCTTTCAAAGACTATTATAAAATGCATTACACACAGCCTGAGAGAATAGGAGTAGATAGAGTGAAAAGTTTTTTGGATTCTTTGGATTTACCTTTAGTAGGAAGACAACAAAATGAATATCTAACAAAAAAAAATCCATAAGATCGAACTGGAGATGGCATTTAAAATGATGAAAAATAACAAAACCCCGGGTACAGACGGGCTTCCAGCAGAATGGTATAAGGCATTTGAATCAGAACTAACACCAATACTTTTGAAGAGCTTGAATTGGACTCTGGAAAGTATGTCAACGCCACCATCTTGGACTGAAGCATTTATTACTGTCATACCCAAAGAGGGTAAGACTTTAAAACAGCTCTGCTTGTGTACAAGTCTCTCCATGGCCTCGCACCAAAATATATTAGTGACATGTTAGTCCCATATGAACCAGCCCGGACTCTGAGGAGCACATGGACTGGACTCCTGTTAGTGCCCAGAGTCAGAACTAAACATGGGGAGGCTGCTTTTCAGATTCATGCTGCTAAAATCTGGAACAATCTTCCTGAAGATGTGAGACAGGCCTCCTCTCTGACAATGTTTAAAACCAAGTTAAAAACGGTGCTGTTCAGCTGTGCATACAACTGAGGGATTTTATATTTTTATCTTTCGTTTTAATGTTCTGTGATTATTTATGATTTTAATGCTATCTTGTTCAGCACTTTGAGTGCCTTGTGTATGAATTGTGCTATACAAATAAACTTGCCTTGCCTTGCCTTGCCTAAAGATAAAACTCTGTGTAGCTCTTATAGACCAATCTCTATATTAAATCAAGACTATAAATTATATGCATCCATAATATCTAACAGGCTAAACACCTTTATTCCAGATTTAATAGACGAGGATCAAACAGGATTTATTGCTGGGCGACAAACGCAGGACAATATTAGACGTTCTCTCCACTTAATAAACACTATTAAAAGCAATAATCAGAAAGCTGCCTTTCTGATTATTTCTGATTTCTGATTATTTCTGATTTCTGATTATAAAAAAAAAAAAAAAATCAAGATGGCGCCAGCAGTGTGCACGGCGCTCCGTCTCCCTGTCCTATTTGGAGTTTTGTTAATTCTATGGATTTGTGTCTATTGCTCTAATGTCTCTGCATCACTTGTGTATGACCGCAGGGCATTACTAAATATTCGGACTTCGTATGAAACCTACTTGAAGCACTGTTTTGCCAAACAGGATTCATGTCCACCACCACCGCCACTTTTAGCTTCTATACCGGCTCACCTGCGCGTTGCTCCTCTTGGTGTGCTTCGTAGGAAACGCAGGAGAGGGAAACGAGGTGGCATCCTGGTAAAAGTTAGAGCTTACCAACGTGCCAAAAAAGGCTTTTCTCCACATTATGGTCACGCCTCTGGAGATCTTCATCGGCGCTGGCTTGTCCCTATACCGCTGATTGGAGCCCCTATCGGGACTCACCCGATGTCAACGCCGCCTTTGGAGTGGATCAGTCCCCGGAGACGCAGAGCTAGCCGCCCAGGAGTAAACCAAAACCTTTGCATGCTAACCCATGCCCACGTGCCTATCAATGAGGACTTTCTTCATATTGCGTTAATGAATGTCAGATCATTGGCGAATAAGACCTTCGTACTCAATGATTTTTTTGTATCTCGTCATTTGGATCTAATGGTTTTGACAGAAACTTGGATTCGGCCCGGTGAGTGTTCAGCCTTTTCTGAGCTCCTTCCTCCTGACTGTGACTTTATTAGCACTCCTCGTACCTCTGGCAAAGGTGGAGGGCTTGCCACTGTATTTAATTCTGTTCTTAAATGCCGTCAGTATCCATCAAACTCCTTTTCGAGCTTTGAACTGCAGCTATTTGTGATACAGCGTAGCGTGCCTGTGTTGTGCGCGCTCATTTATCGTCCGCCTAAATTCAATAAAGATTTTATCGTGGACTTTTCGGACTTTTTAGCAGGAATTGCTCTTAAATTTGACCATTTTCTAATAGCTGGGGATTTTAATATCCATGTCTGGTGTGACTCCAAGCCTTTGGTCAAGGATTTTAAAACTGTGATTGACTCTTTTAATCTGACGCAGTGGGTCAGTGGCCCCACGCATGAAAAGGGGCACACACTCGATCTCGTTCTATCTTATGGTTTGACTGTACGCATCGAGGATCTCTGTAATACACAGATTTCGGATCATATACCTGTTTTGTTTTCACTGAATCTTCCCTGCCTTTTGGCTCCATGTGCCATGGCGCGCAGGCGACGCGTAATCACGTCCTCTACAGCAGAGGCATTCTCTAATGCCTTTGTTTCTTCTGCGCCTTCACTGTCGTGTGACTCTGATACTGATGCGCTAACTTGTTTGTTCACGTCTACATGTACTGTAATTCTGGATTTAGTTGCTCCTTATAATACATGTAAGCCTAAGAGTAAGTCCCAGCCCTGGCTAAATGACACCACGCGCGCGCTCAGACGTGAGTGCCGACGTGCAGAAAGGCGTTGGAAAAAGGACAGACTTCATGTTTCCCTGGGCATCTTAAGAGATTGTTTGTCTAATTATCAAAGAGCAGTAAAATGCGCTAAAACTGAGTACATGTCAAACCTGATATCTACAAATGGTCACAAACCACAAGTTCTCTTTACTGTTTTAAATCGCCTTGTGAATCCCACTGAATCCAGTGGCATTGTACCATCAGAAACTTTGTGTGTCAATTTTCAAAGATTCTTTGTGGATAAAATATCTGCTATTCGGGATTCTACATTACATTGTGCTGCTGTGGACCCTTCTGTGAATTCTGTTTGTTCTGTGGTCCTTGAACATTTTGAATCTGTGTCACTGATGAGCTGTCTACTGTGGTGCGCCAGTTAAAACCCTCTGATTGTCCACTTGACTGTGTCCCGTCTAAACTTCTTAAAGACTCCTAAAGTGTCATTGGGCCCTTTATAATGAGAATTATTAATTCATCATTGATCTCGGGCAGAGTCCCAAGTGCTTTCAAGCATGCTGCTGTCCAGCCTCTACTTAAAAAACACAGCTTAGATCCTGAAGTTCTGTCTAACTTCAGGCCAATTTCTAAGTTGCCTTTTTTATCAAAAGTTCTGGAGAAATTGGTTCACGCCCAAATTCAGTCTCACTTGGAAGCAAATAGCCTCTTTGAAAAATTTCAGTC